GAATAAGTACCCAGAAGTACTTCTTCTGTCAACTCTGTCTCCACACCAGTCAGAATCAGAATAACTCAGAAGTTCTGATTTGATCTTTCCTCCAGAAGGAAATAACACTCCATAATTCAGAGTTCCTTTTATATACCTCAGAATCCTGACAGCAGCTTGGTAATGAGACCACTTTGGTTTGCTCATGTATCTGCTGACCATTCCAACTGCATAACAAATATCAGGTCTGGTATTGCATAAATACCTCAGAGAACCAACCATCTGTTTGAAGGTTGTAGCGTCCACATCCTCTCCATCAGAATCAGAGTCCAACTTCTGATTCGTATCAGCAGGTGTGATAGCAATCTTGCAATTTGCTAGCTCAAATCTCTTCAGAAGCTCTAGTTCATACTTCTTCTGATGCAAAATGATTCCTTTCTCAGAGTATATAAGTTCCATCCCTAGAAAGAAACTCATTTTTCCAAGATCTGTCATCTCAAACGCCTTCATCAGAACTTTCTTGAACTCAGCTGTTTCTTGTTCAGAACTTCCTGTGAGTAATATGTCATCAACATACAAACAGACCAGAATCATATTACCTTCTGAAGTATGCTGAACATAAACACCATACTCCATCTCACACTTCTGAAACCCTTGTTCCTTGAAAAACGAATCAATCTTCAGATTCCAAGCTCTGGGCGCTTGCTTCAGTCCATACAGAGCTTTACTTAACCTGTATACCATCCCTTCCTGATTCTTTTTTACAAATCCAGGAGGTTGTGACACATAAACTTCTTCCTGTAATGGACCGTTCAGAAATGCAGACTTCACATCCAGATGTATCAAAGGCCAATTTCTGTTTGCAGCTAAAGCAATCACCAGTTTGATTGTTTCGTGTCTAGCTACAGGTGCAAACACCTCAAAATAATCTAGTCCAGGTTTCTGAAGAAAACCTCTGGCCACTAGTCTCGCTTTATGTTTGCCAATTGATCCATCTGGCTTTAGCTTCTGCTTGAAAACCCATCTGACGCTGATGGCTTTCTTGCCTTTTGGAAGTTCTGTCAGCTTCCAAGTCTTGTTTCTTTTAATTGCCTCAAGTTCTTCTTTCATGGCATTCAGCCATACTTTCTTCTTGAGTGCTTCTTCAATACCCACTAGTTCAGAATCTACTAGCATGGCACACTGAACGATTTCACCTTCAGAATCTACTTCAGTATCATGCAACATGCTAAAATCTGCAAACTTACTTGGTATTCGTCTGATTCTCTGTGGCCTCTGGTCTTGTTCTGAAGGTTCTCCAGAATTCGGAACAATACTGGCTTCTGAACCTTGTCCAGAACTACTTCCTTCAGAATTACCACCTTCAGAGTTACTTCTGGAAATTTGTTCTCCAGACCCTATGTCTTCAGAGTTTTCCCTTCCAGAAGTAAAATCACCACCAGATTCTGGATCATCATCAGAATCTGGATCAGAATCAGATCCACTATCAGAATCTCCCTGAGATTCTGACTCATCTTCAGAGTCTTCTTCTTCTGACTCTGACTCGTCTTCAGAAACTAACCCTGGTGTTGGCACTACACCAGAATCTGATTGAAGCTTGTTCCAATCCCATGTTTCTGACTCTTTCACAACGACGTCTCTGCTGATTTCAACTTTGTTGGTTTCTGGACAATAAAGCTTGTAGGCACCTGTACTGTGGTACCCCACCAGTAACATTGTTTTGCTTCTATCATCCAGTTTTCGTCTTCTAGCCTCTGGAATGTGTTTGTAGCAAACAGAACCAAATACTTTCAGATGGCTAACACTCTGCTTGTCTCCAGTCCATTTTTCTAAAGGAACAGTTTCTTTTAGCTTCTTCGTTGGACACCTATTCAGAACATATGCTGATGTGGCAACAGCTTCTCCCCATAACATGTGAGGTAACTTCTTTTCTTTCAGCATACTTCTGGTCATATCAAGCAAAGTTCTGTTTCTTCTTTCAGCAAGACCGTTGTGCTGAGGAGTATATGGAGCAGTAACCTCATGTTCTATTCCATTCTTCTCACAGAACTTCTGGAACTCTGTAGAGTTATACTCACCTCCACCATCTGTTCTCAGAATCTTCAGCTTCTGACCACTCTGCTTCTCAGCCTTCACCTTGAACTTCTGGAATTCTGTAAACACTTCATGCTTGAACTTGATGAGTGTTACCCAAGTCATTCTTGTGAACTCATCCACAAAAGACACGAAATATTTGTTTCCTCCAAGTGAAGCTACTGGAAATGGTCCACATACATCAGAGTGTACTACTCCCAGAGCATGTTTTGCTCTGGGGGCTACTTCTGACGCAAATGGCAATCTGGGTTGCTTGCCTTTCATGCATATCTCACATGACTTCTGAGGCTTCACAATCTTCGAAATGCCATGTACGAGCTTCTTAGAACTTAGATGCCCTAAGCTTCTATAGTTCAAGTGCCCCAACCTCTTGTGCCACAACTTACTGTCTGCTTCAGCGCCTTCTGCACTGAGACACTCCGCTTCAGAAGTTTCTACATTCACTTTGAATGTTCTGTTGCTTCCCTGCTCAGACTTCATAATCATCTTCTGATTAGAATCGTACAACGTCAAGAGGTTGTCCTTCATAACCACTGAAAAACCTTTCTCAACAAGCTGACCCACACTCATCAGATTGCTTTTAATTCCAGGAACGTATCAGACATCTTTGATCAGAATGTTTCTTCCATTCTTCACTCTGACTCTGACATTTCCCATACCTTCTGCATTAAGGTACTTATCATCAGCACATCTGATCTTTGTTCTCCTTCTGGAGTCAAAGTCTGTCAGCCATTGTTTGTTCCCAGTCAAGTGATTTGAACAGCCAGTGTCCATATACCACCAATCTCCTGAACAGTTTCCATCAGAATCAGAAGCCATCAGTAGCATAGGTTCATCATCAGAATCTTCTCTGGCTATATTTGCTTCTTCTGATTTTCTTCCTTTGTTTCTACAGTCTCTGGCAAAATGCCCAAACTGTTTACAGCAGTAACATTGAACCTTCTTCTTGTCATACCTTTCCTTTCCCTTCTGATATTTCTTTTCATCAGAAGTTGAGGTTTCTGACTTCTGGAATTTATCACCATGTCTATTCTGCTTCTGGTCCTTCTTGACAAAAGAAGCTTTCAGAGCTTGCTCCACTTCCCTCTCAGAAGTTCTTTCAGTCAGACGCAACTCTTGTGCTTCTAGACTGCTTTGCAACTCTTCTATTCTCATGGTTTCCAGATTTTTAGAATGTTCAATAGAAACAACAATGTAATCAAACTGAGGCGTAAGTGACCTCAGAATCTTTTCTATGATTACCTGTTCAGAAAGTGTTTCTCCACAAGCCTTCATTTCATTTGTGATCAGAATCAATCTGGAGATGTAATCAGAAACTTTCTCACTGTTCTTCATGCTGAGATTTTCATATTGTTTTCGCAGGGACTGAAGCTTTACCTTCTTTACTGATACGTCACCACCATAACATCTGGTCAGAATATCCCATGCCCCTTTCGACGTCGTCGAATCAACAATCTTCTCAAACACATTTTCATCCACACACTGATGGATGAAGAACAGTGCTTTTTGATCCCTCTTCCTTGTAGCTCTTTCTTCTGATTTCTGTTCTTCAGTAGCATCTGCTGCAACTGGAAGATAACCTTCAGAGACAAGGTCCAGAACATCCTGAGCACCAAACAGCACACGCATTTGTATCTTCCATCTGTTCCAGTTTTTACCATAAAAGACTGGAAGTTTAGTGTTCAAACTACTGCCTCCATTCATCTTAAACCTTTGCACAGAAAAACTCAGATCTCAGATTCTCACTCAGTGTATCCCAAACCCACAGAATCAGTGTGATTCTGTTTCAGATTTTTGTTCAAGAATAAAAAAAAACAAACACACAGCTCACTATCACTCGTGTTTCCCAGAGTTTCAGAATCGAACCAGGAGCTCTAGATACCAATTTGTTAGTGCAAGGTGATGAATTTGAGGAAGAAGATGAAAGGGAATAAATGCAATAAAAGCTGGCTGCAAATGATTGGAGAATTGATTGATAAATGTAAACCTAGTACACCTATTTATACACAAATAAGAATGCCACATAGGCCCTAATTAAAACTTATCTACAAATAACAAAATACTAAATTACCCTCTAATAAAAATAACATTTTAAGAATAAACAAAATTTAAAATCTTCTTAAAGAATTTATTTATAAATTTTATTTTCACAAAATTATATATCATTTTAAAAATTATTTTTAAAAATACCAAAACAAACATACTCTATGAATAACACATGTTATAGTTATGTCATAAGTTTGATTTTATCGTAAACAGTTTACATTTAAAAAGTCTAGCCAAATTTTAAGATATTACTAAGATTTTATCATAAACAGTTTACAACTAGAAAGTCTAGCCAAATTCAAGATAGTTGAAAATTCAAAATAGTTGAAGAAGTCTATAGCCAAATTCAAGATAGGTTAATATCTACTATATGAACACATTTTTATCCTAATATTTTTTATCCAGAATAATGCTTCAATTCAATTGTTAATCTTGAGATTTCTTTTAATAATTTTTCAGTCTTTTTCTTTATCTCTAATTGTCTGATTTCTTTCAATCTAGTTTCTTTTCATCTAATTTACTCACTTCATCTTTATTACATTTATTTTATTTTCGTATTGATCGTTAAAAGAACACTGAGACTGAGTTTCATGCAAACTAATATTATCAATAAGACAATAACAATGTATCTTATTTAACAACAAAATTGATAGAAATTGGGCAATAACATTTCATACAATCCCAATTGCAACTTGTAGCCCAATCATTTTCATTTCTAACAAAATAATAGTTGCAATCTAACACACAACACTTTCTAGCAACTAAAATAACAAACACTCCTACATCTAAAAATAACAACCTAGCCGAAACATTTATTCACCTAATCCAACAATGTAAAAAACAGCAAACTAGCTTCATAATAAACCAAATGATTCAGATTCTTAATCTTCAAGAAGAGCTTGATCAAAGTGCCACACACCATGACCCTTTCCAACTAATCTCAGCTGTGTCACATACTCAGAAATCTTCTTAATTGATTGAACCTGTTCAACCAAAATACACACATATGAAAAAAAAAACATAAATTTGAAAGGAAAAAAAAATTAACACACCTACAACATAAAAAAATTGTTACCTGTTCATCCAAAAACTCGCTCTCAATGAAATCAGCCAATTGAGGATCATTGTTACTATCAGCCACCTATTAAAATTCATCAACCATATAACCTATTATTTCATAACAAAAATTTATTCATTCAACCATAAAAAAAATATATACAGAAAGAAACATTACAGCATGAAGATCCAGAAGCTTCTCATTCACTAACTTCTCCAAAGACAGTGCCAATTCCATAGCTAAATCAAACCAAAAAAAAACACGAATCAGCATAGATAATATACAAAGCACCGTAGACACCATAAACACGACACAGAGATATCTTTTTTCAGAAGTGTCAGTGTTACATAGTACATACACAATAATAGTCACGTCTATATGAAAAATCAACAGAGAACTTACCATACAATGCATCACCCTTTTCGTGATCGAACTCCGACGGAGGACTCACAATAGGATGCAACACCACTCTTCCACCACGAAGATTCTAAACAGATCAAACTTATCATTATCATCATCATAACAAAAAATATTACTCAACAATTAACAACTCTTTCCCAAAAAACAGTTCTAAAAACTAAAAACACACTAACCTGATACTTCATAAGCTTCTCAGCATGCTCTCTTTCCTCTTCACTAGATTCCTTAAAGAACCTAAAAAAAACCACAAAAATTCAAAACCCCATTTTCAAAGACACAAAAAATCAAAACCCCATTTTGAGAAACACATAAAAATCCCAAAAATTCAAAACCCCATTTTCAGAAACACATAAAAAAACAATCTTTACAGGATTATGATCCTTACTTAGCAAGTCCCTTCAAAGCTATGTTATCTCTGTCAAAATACGCAAACAGAGAGTGGTACACATAGGAAACATTGTATTCAACACTGCATTAACAAAAAACCCGATGTTAAATATAAAAAACATAGATCTAATTCTAAAGATCTTAACTTTTTACAAGAAAAGAAATAAAAAAGAGATGAGAAAATGGTTACTTAATCTGTTCATTAATGGCAGCTTCAGAATCATTGTTGAAATTCTGGCGGGCCAGAGAAACGTTGGGTGCAATGGGAGTAGCAAGGTAGTCTTTCTTGACTTCTTCGAACGGTTCAAAGATAACACCAGTGAGTGTTGCGGGTGAGTTTGTTGCAGCATAAACCTTCACGTTCTTGTTTTTTGAAGAAGATGAAAGAACAAAGCTCAGAGAGGAAGAAGAGGGATTCTTCTTCTGAACGTGGTGAGGGAGAAGAGGTGAAGGAGAAAGGGTTGAGAGTTTGGAAGAAAGAGCCATTGGAGAAGATTGAAGAAATTTGCGGTGGTGAATGGTTGTGTGTAGAGGGAAAGGGTAGAGGTGGTATAAGTAGTGGTGAGGAGGGGTATTTTGGGGATGGGGGATTAATTTGGACCGTTGGATTGAATGTGACGTGGAGGGTGGAGATTTAAGGGCGTGTGGCGGACTCGTGGTGAAGATAGAAAGTGGAAAAGTTTGATCCACGTATCCATCGTGAATGAAATCGTGATGATTCGGTCCAATTGTTTGCTTCACTCGCTCTACCACTTTCTTCTTCACACGCGCTTTTCAACCACTATGAAATCTTGTGAAAATGGTAATGGAATCAACAAAAGGAATTAAAAGGCTAAAAAATCATTCATAACTATATCAATAATATCATGAGTAATATTTTTAAAGTTTATTTAATACAATAAAATGACATACAATAGAGAACCATTATTATGCCTTGTCATTTAATTTATTTTAAAATTTATCTGTGGTTTAGTATAGAATATAGTATGATAATGATTAGATCAATGTGAGAGTAAAATTATTTTATAATGTATATGTTATTTTTTCCTATTTTAAGAATTATTAATTTACATTTATTTAAAATTAAAAAATGGTCATTAAATTACAATCATTTAAAATTATAAAAGTATAAATTAATAATCTATATATTTTTTATTTTAGGGGGTGTTTATTTCAAGTTTAGAAATAAAATTTCTGAAAATACATGAATAAGAAATTAATATACTCATATTTATTACAAGTTTGAAAATAATTATTTCTAGGAATAAAAATTTCAAAAAAAAAGAAAGTAATTTATCATATTTTTATGAAATCATTCCTATGTAAAAGGATGAGAATGTAGATTCCAATGAAATTTTATAAAAAAAATTTAAAAAATTAATTAAAATTATAATTTTTCTAAGAATATCAAAATGTTTGTCAAACACTTTTTTTTAAAAAAAATTCTTGAAATAAATTTTTTATCTTTATTTTCCTGAGTAATTAATTTTTTAGAATAAATTTTGATTTCTTAAAACAAACGTCCACGTAGACAAAATGTTTAATATAAAAATCGTTCAACTTATAAAAGATTCTCAAAAGTTCAAAGATCAAGAGATTGTCGTAATTAAAGTTATACTCCACCATTGAGATGGTATAATGGATTTGTTTCGTCACATGTCTGTTTTACTTATTTTTTATGGGACAAATCAAAATTTAAGCCTACACCTTCTAATATATATGTCCTATTTTTATCCGAGTGCCAACGTTAACATATAATTGTGCATTTTTTAACTTAAAAAGGTGAAATTCTCACGAGCTCTCGCCTTTATCTTTAATATAAAAATCGTTGAACTTGATAAAAGACTTTCAAGACCTAAAAGATCAAGACATTACGGTAATTAAAGTCATACTCCACCATTAGGATGGTATAATAAGTATGTTTCGTCAGACATGTTGGTTTTGCTTGTTTCTTTTTGCGGGAAAGACCAAAGTTTAAGTCTACACCCTCTAATATATATATATATATATATATATATATATATATATATATATATATATATATATATATATATATATATATATATATATATATATATATATATATATATATATATATATATATATATATATATGTCACATTTTTATACAGTGTCAACATTAACATATAATTTTGCACTTTTAAAGTTAAAAAGGTGAAATACTCGCAAGCTCCCGCCTTTAATTTTTTGCAGACTTTTGCAGAATAAGGGTAAACAGGACGGACATGCTTGTTTGTCACCACTACTCCACAGAATATTCAAAAGGAAAACACAATCATCATAATCATAACTCTCATAATACTCAATCTAACACAGAGATATACAATCTCAAAAACGTGTTGAAATCAACTCGTATCCTCTCTATCTTCTCATTCCACAGAAAGAAACAAAGAAGAAGGATCCATCAATTGTGTGTCCTCACAACCTAGACACTACGAGAAAATGCAAGACAACATAATTTGTGCAATTGAAGCTCTAGAGCTTAATGAAATTATGAAGTGGATTGAACATGATATGAAGCCTTGCAATCATTTTTCCTCTTAATAAGAAATAAAACAAAATATTAGATTGACTACTTGTAATTAATATTAACAAATTGACGTTCTCTTTATTACTAGTATTATACTAATAAAAATAAGACCTAATTAACTAAAATAATGCAAAGTAAATGATGAGATTTCACTATTGAAAAAATCTCGTGTGTATATCAATTTTTTATTTATTAAATAATCTAGTAATTAAAATTCATATTTTTGATATAACTATCAATTAAGTTAGTTTCACGACTGAAATATCTATTTATTTAGAGATTGAAATTGAAGAGAATGAATAATAAATGTGTCATCATCACAATAAATGTATCTATATTACGTTGTTAATAAGTCAATCAACCTATAAATCAACTAACATTTGAACCAATAAAAAATAAGTTATTTCAAAATACTTTTAATACTACTTTGAGTTATACAATTAAAATAAGAAAAACAAATTTAGTCTTATTTATAAAAACACAATCTTTAAGGGGTGTTGTTTGGGAGATTAGAAAGTTGTTCCCTAGAATCTAAAATGAAAATATAAAATACTTATATTTGTTATAAAGAAATACATAATTATTTGCAAGAAAATTATCATAGGGAATTTTTATTCCCACGTAGCTAAGAATTGCATTCCCCACTCATAAGTATGAAATTTTTTCGTTCCTGTCAATTTTGTGTAACTGCCATATAACTCCACTAATCAATGCATACTTCATTTATTATAGAGGTAGGATTTCGTTTTTTTCTTTCATGATATACTAGTTAACTACTTATATTTGATGATTAAAATAATTACTATAAAGTTTATTTCTTTATATTGATAATCTAAAATAAAAAGTATTATTCTTTTCGTTATTTTTTAAGTGTGGTTTTAATATAAAATTCTTTAACTAAAATAATAGATTTTTAGATTTATTTTTTTATTATAATTTTATTTATTTTTCCTTTTTAAATAAATTCAATTATGTATTTTCTTTTAGAATTTTTTTTAAATAATCAAATTTTTTAATTTTAATACCCAACTAACCAACTTTTTTCTATAATTTCAATCTAACTATGTTTCAAACAAAAAAATAGATTGAAGAGGATGCGCCATTTGAATTGACGCCTCCTATTTTTTTATACTTTTTTTCAGTTAGTTGCGGATTTATTTACGAATTTGGTGTTACTTGCGGATTTTCTTGACCTACGGACAAACAGGTACAGATAAATCCGCAAGTAAATCTGCAGATTACATCAAATTCGCAAATAAATCTACAGGTGATTGGAAAAATACAAAATAATATAGAAGACGCCAATTCAAGTGGCGTCTCTTCTTTAATCCATTTTTTTTGGTTTGAAATATGATTAGATTGAAAATTAAGGAGAAAGATTGATTAGTTGGATATTAAAATTGAAAATTTTAATTATTTGAAGAAAAGTTTCTACTCTCTTATTTCAATAACCAATTAAAAAATAATTAATTTTATAAAAAATATAAAGTGAAATTATTAAAAAAAAGGGATATAATTAATAAATTATAACATAAAATTATAAAATGACATTTAAATAGAAACAAAAATAATTATTTTAAAATAACACTTAAAAAGAAACAGAGGAAATAATAATTTATATTTCTATAAAGATATTTAAAAAGAAACAAAGAGAATAATAATTTATAAAATTTTAAAATAAAAAATTATTGAGAGTTTAAAATACAAATCAAACACATTTTTCACGCATATCTAAAAATAAAGTGAGTGAAAATATTTCACAATTTTTAATAAAAATATATTTGACAAACTTTATGGAGTACCATATAATAGTGCATTGATTTTAATATTTATTTATTAATTTATATTTATAATATTGATTTTAATATTATTTATTAATTTATGTTTATATAAAATCAAAGGAAATACTAATGATAAATAAGATACAGTTTTGATAGGATGGCATAATACATACTAGTGTATTATAATTTTATTTTCATTTACAAAAATCAGAAAACAAAAACGAAAGATAGGAACATCATATGGGAATTTTTTTTTATACCAAAAGAACTTGAATAATAAAAAAAAGGAACATGATCATATGGGATTGAATTGGTGGTGAGTTGATTAGAGTGAGAATTAAGCGAGTGGAGAAATGAAGAAAAGAAAACGCCAAAATTGGGCAGACAAGCTTTTTTGTTTGTAGCTTTTTGACAGCTAAACTTTTTTCTGCCAAAGCCTGTAGAAATTTCTTCTCACATCACATGCATTGATGTATTACTATTATATGGTTACTCTCATATTACGAAAAATATATAAAGATGCCATCTTTATACAGTTTCTTTTTTCGAGTAAACTCTTGTATTTATTCATATTAATCATTTCATACCTAAATTGATTGTAAGTCATTAAATGTAATATTTAACATGATGATTTTTAAAGAGTTGTGCTATTTAAACACTTATTTGACACCATATGTAACTCTTATGTAACACTTTATTAACACATGTGTTTAGAATTATATTATTAAAATATTAATAAGTTATCTCAGTATATCTAAAAGCTAGAGTAATATATATATATATATATATATCGTTCCTAATAAATACAATATATATTATTATTTTATAATTATGCACCTTGTATTTATTAAGAACGAAATACTTCTGAAATGTTTGTAATGTGTATTATTCTGATTTTTATATGTATTCAGTATTAGTTATTAATATTTTACTAATATGATTCTAGATAAATATTAGTTCAATATTACAGTTTTTATAAAATCTAAAAAGACGTCAATAACCATATAATCCATGGGTAACTCACCTAATTCACGACTTTTAGGGTCCCTCCCATAAGCATAGTCCGCAAACTCTTTATCCTAATACCACTCACATGATCTAGATCGTGCATAATCTCTTAAACTAAGTATAGAATTGAGGATGCAACCATCCCTA